GTCTCAACAGACCAAATTTATTCAGATCTTGCCTAATCTCGTTTATTTTACTCTTAACTTCACAGTGCATAGAATGACTAATAAAAACTGTTTTTGTGGCATTTTTAGTGTTATTTTTCAGTGAAATAGGACCACTTAATACCAACCACAAGACTGATTCACTAGCTACTAGACCACCCATTGGACTTCTAATGACTCTTCCAGAAATAAAACTATGATAAAAATCTTTATCTACTAAAATATCATGAAAACCAAGAGACCCCTTGTCATGATCAGCTAATGAAAATCAAGATATTTGTTTAAATTAATTACTAGCTAATGATACATTTTGCCTTTGCAGAGGGCTGCAAATAATAGGTACACGTAATACTTCCATACAAACACTATGCTCTGAATATTTATATTGCACCTTAAATTGAACTACATTCAGCAATTGCAATAGTTTAATAGTTTTTCCTTTCTTATAGTTTTCAAGTTTAATTGTTTTTGAATTTTTTTACTTACATATGACTGTTGACTCCTACTGTCAAATAATACTCCTGCCTTAAACAATTTATTCTCTCCCACTGCACTGATGTCTGCTTTAGCAGTTTGCAACAGAATAGTTTGTTCAGAATTGTTGTTTGTTACATGTCCAACTAAGGTATTTTCTTTTTTACTTAAAGAAATATGATGCTTTTCTCTGCATTTACTACAAATATAATTTGCTTGACAATTCTTGAATATATGATTCGCTCTTAGACAATTAAAACATCTACCTTGCTTTTTCAAAATTTCTTTTCTGGTTGAGAAATTTGTCATATTTTTACATTCCCAAGGATTGTGATTTTCTGAACAGTATACACAAGGATAATTATATTTTCTTTTGTTTTGATAATCTTTTTCAAATGATTTAGGGAAAACATTTTTGTTATTACTCTTAAAGTTTGGATAAACGTTCTATAATCCTGCAGTTGTGAATAACTGACTATTAACTTTTCTGTTTTTAACATTTCTATTGTTATTTGAACAACTCTCTATAGCGTTTAATTCCTCTCAAAAAATTTTTAGCATTAAATCTATAGTCCAAACCTCCCCAGCAAATTTCCTTGAAATTAACAGAATTAAATCATCTGGTAATTTTTCTTTCAAAATTAGAATTAAAAGACTACCATAGGTGTTAGTTTCAATGATTTTAAATTTCAAACACATGCTTCTATATCATTATAAAGTTTCTTAGGCCTTCAACATTATCACAATTTTTCACTTTCATAAGTTTTATTAATGAATCCATGTGTGCAGAGATTAAAGTATGTGGGTTACCATACCGTTCAATCAATAAAGAAACTGCTTCTCTATATTTTTCTGAAGATAGGGTTAAACCACAAATAGTAGTCGATGCTTGACCTCCTAAAAAATTTTTTAAATAATTGAAACGATCAATACCATTTAGGTCGCCATTATTATGAATGGAAACATTGAAGTGATCCCAAAATGTTTGCCATTCTAAATAATTACCTTTAAAAATTTGAAGTTCAATTTTTGGCAATCTACAGTTAATTTTATTTTTAGAACTCTGTTCAGAATTATTTTTAAAACCTAATTTTACAGATTCTAACCTTATATATATTTTTGAAAGCATATTGTGAATTGGATCTGATATTTCCACACTCGATAAAACATCCTCCTCAACCTCATTTGGATCAAGTATATTAATTATTTCTTCATCAATATTATTTAAATTGGTATAAGAGTCACTTAAACTGTTTTTTAACACTATAAACCTAGACTGCGATGTATCAGGGTCTTCTAAAGCCTGACTAATTTCAACTATATTTTTTTTAAAGATACTTCTTAGTGCTTTCCTTTTAGCAATTTTCCTATTTAATATTGCAGCCATAACTTATTATCTAATACCACTATACAGCTATTAAAACTTATAATCTAATACTACTATACAACTCTCTATACAATTTTTCACACTCTCTTATGCACAATAATCATAATGAGCAATAAAAAAATATGTATACAACAACAAATCTAATATCAATCAACAAAAGCATTATGTTATTTCTTACCAACACGCTTGTTGACAAACTTCAAATCATACACCGAATCAAATGTAAACAAAACCTTTTTTTTTCAAGTCTAATTGATTCTTTTTCTGAGTTTAATTGGATAAATGTTTTTCTTTTGGTAATAGTTTTTATTCAGATTTCGTTTCTTTTTTCATCAGGCGCCATGTAAACAATTGTTAAACTTTAATTATTTGTAAAAACAATAAGGGTTTAAGCTAAGTTGCTTTCTTTCCTGTAACTTCATGATAACTTACAAAAATATCCGTAACAAAAACTTTTACAATCAAAAATATATTCAAGAAAATCCAGATAAAAACCTGTTAAAGTAACAAAAAGCTGTATATATATTTACACTTTTAACACATGGATTAACTACCAATAATATAGTCTATAAAAAGCATGAAACACGCAACAAACTTGTAATAACTACAAAAAGTTTGGCTTGAAGTTAAAACAACCTATACAGTAAAAAAATTGAATCAATTTTCTATGGAGGTTTGAATCTGTTTTAAGTAAATCACAAGGGCAACAACCATAATAGATATTAGTGATTTTCAAATTCTTTTAAAAAAATTAATTGCTTCAAGCAGGAGTACCTTAATAGACCAAAAATCTATAATGTGAAAAAATTTGAAAGTTTCAAGTCATTCCATCTATCTTATTTTAATTATGATTTTTTATATTTAATTTATTATGATATATAAACTAAATTAAGTTATAATTATCAAATTTTTAAAATGAGTGTTGGTGTAAAACATTTAAATTTTTAGCTTGAAAACTTTAATTTAAATTAGGCCTAAATGTAGAAAAAAAACAATAAACATAACAAAATTAAAATAATAAACATTAACAAAACTAAAACTTTCCGCTGAGAAGTTTTAGTTTACGTTCACTTATTCTTAATGACGCACTTTTTTGTAAATCTATAAAAAACAGCATCTTTAAAGCAATTTATTTTTGTTGATTTTTCAAACTTCTTTTTAAACAAGATAGCAACTAGTTAACTTTAGATTTTTTTTATTTTGAGTTAACCCTTATTTTCTTAGAAACAACTTGCTTGAAGCAAGTTAATACCAAAAATTGTTGGTGCCTACTCTGTAACTTTCTTCAGTTTTGTATTGCTTTTTATTTTATAGCATTTTTTTTAATTTCTAATTCCAGAAACGTAATTCATGTTTTTATAGACTGACACTTAAATTTAATGTAATAAACCAACAACACTTAAATAGAATACTCAACTAATTAAATTCTCTACAAAATAATCATCGCACAAGTAAATCCTGTTGGTTAAATATATATTAACATTATTTTATTATTTGCATTACATTTATAAAACATAGCCATTTAAACTTGTAAATCCAGTTATATAAACTTGGCCGAAAGTACATTCTAAATGCATATGAAATGAAAAAAATTTATTAGCTTTATTTAAATAAGGTTTGTTGAGGTTTTAGACTTTATATTTATAGAAGTGAAGTCAGCTGAAGCTATGAACCTAAAAACTGTTTAATAATAAAATAAGAAAATACTGTAGGCTCAGTTATAGACCATCTATTTATTCAATTAAAAAACACACTTACTTAGAGCCGAATCTTAGCAAGGTATTAACTTATTAATGACAAACATGGTGTTCTAAAGTTAATATATATATATATAAAATTTTATATATATATATATATATATATATATATATATATATATATATATATATATATATATATATATATCGTCTACATGTATATATATATATATATATACATATATATATATATATATATATATTTATATATATATATATATATATATATATATATATATATATATATATATATATATATATATATATATATATATATATATATATATATATATTATTTATTTACGTTTTCTTTTACTGATATTTTACTATAATTTAAAATAAAATATATTGAAGTTAAAAAAATTTATTTCGCATAGAGATTCACTTAGTTTTGAATATATCTATATATTTTACTATTAAATTATGGTTTGTTTACATATTTATGGTTTGCTTGCATATTTATGATTTGTTTGCATATTTATGGCTACTTTACTATTATTTAAAAAATTTAATTTTAGTCTTCGCATAGTGAAGCTTTAGTTATGAAAAATATCGAAGAGAAACAAATATTATTACCCTACTGAATAATACTGATAATATTGAATATATTTTAAAGCAAGAAAATGTTTTTTATAGAGCAAAGATATAAATGCTTTATATTTTTACTAATCACAACTATTACTCATCACACATGTCATCACACAATTTATACTCATCACAACAAGTATTCCATGAATCTACCAATCACAACAAGTATTCCATAAATCTACCATGTGAATTACCTTGAACTAAATATTCTAACTTGCCTACAAGTATATTTCAATGAAAAAACATTAAAACAAACCACCAAATAAAATGAAAACAGTTTTTTTTTAATAGTATTTCTTATGATACTAGGCTTGCAGCTAAGCTAAAAGGACTAGTTTTTCTAATTGATTGTTTGATTACTATAAATAATTATTACTTCACATGATTTGCTAAAGAAATAAATAACTAAAATAAACACAAAATTTAACAACTTAAAAAAATTAGGACATAATATAAATAAAAATAACAATATTGAAAAAAAGTTTAAATACTTTTTTAAATTTATTAGAACATGTTTACTTTTTAATATTAAACTTTAATAAGTTAAAAAAGCATCATTCATGAAGATTTAGGACTGACATTGCAAATATTTTTCTCAGCACACAGGTATCAAATAAGAATAGTTTTTTTAAATGCGTGGTGGTTTTTCGAAAAAAACAATCGGTGTCATTAGATGATGGTTGCAATAACACTTTAGAGTTAAATCATTTAATTTTTGCAAATTATTCTTATTATGATGATATATAAAAAATTTAAAAAAATTAACATTTTTCTACCTCTAAAGGTGTTTTAGCATAAGTCTTTTCTTTTTTGGGCATTTTTTTTCCTTGGTCTTTTAATATTCTTTTTTCATCTTTTAATTTCTCTTTTAATTCCTTTTGTTCTCTCTTACTTTTCGGTATTGGTTCAGACAGATATTGAGGATCTCGTTCTAAATAACTTAAATAATAGTAATGCTTTCGAAATGCTCTATCAAGAAAGTGAAATTGTTCTATAGCTTCCATTGCTATTTGGGGCATTTTTTCTATCATTAATGATAAGCAGGGTGTTCCACTTGAATCATAAACACCAGCTGGAGCTCCTTGTTCAATAAGAAAGCGTGCAGCATCAGCACGAGCTATGAAAAAATACTATAAACATCAGAAATATTTGTAATATTAGTATAGTGAATAATATTTTAGAACCTTAAGCACATATTATATATACTTCATATATACTTATGTGTAGTACATATTATATATATATATATATATATATATATATATATATATATATATATATATATATATATATATAATATATATATATATATATATATATATATATATATATATATATATATGAACCATATATGCAAGAGTGTATTAAAGTCTTATAATAGCTGATTAAGCTAGAAACCAATTAGTTATAATTTTAGTGATTATATTTAAATTTATGTATAATTATATGCCCATATGTCGAAAAACACAAACAAAGAAAGCAAAGCAACAAAAAAGTGATATAAAGGAAATGCTAAAAGAAGGCCTATCAACTTCTTTGAAACTTCGCTAAGTTCCCTGCCTACAAAGCTCTTGCTAAATATTGGTCATGTTACTAGATACATACAGTCTGTTACCTCAGCCAAAGTTAAACAACTAAAGCCGATCAAGACTTGGCTGAGCTAAAAAGATAGCTTCCAAAGATGTAAAAAGCAATAGGAAAGATGAACCTTGTAATGCTGTAAAAAAAAATCCATTTTGCTTTGGAGTATTGTATATATATAGACATCCTGCAATTTTATAAATTTCTTTGCTGCAAAGAACATACTGAATAAATGTCTGTCAATTTAAAAGCAATATAAAGCTCTTGGTAAAGAAAAAATGCTTCAAATGAAACTTAACACATGAAAAACTCAAATTTAATTGTTTTAAGAACCTTAAGCACATATTATATTTACTTCATATATACTTATGTGTTTTTAGGAAGGTTATGGAAGGTTTTAACTTTAAATATTAAAGGCAGGAACAAAAAAAGTTTATCAGTGTTACTTTTGACAAGGAATTAGATGTCATGGAAAGAAAAATATTTTTTTATAATTTGCTATAAGTGAAAGCTAATAAATATTTTCATACTTTAAATAACAAAAGTTAGTTCAGAATACAATTTTTTAATACAAACAGTACCAGTTTCTGCAGCAACAAATAACGGAGTTCTTCGTTTATAGTCTCGATCATTGATGAAGGCACCAAGTCTCAGCATTGTCTTTAATGAAGCTGCAGCATTGTTCTTAGCTGCATAATGCATAGGGGTCTGAAGCTCGCCATAAGTTTTTGCTCCCAAATTTGCTATAAAAAAAAAAAAAAAAATTAATAACTGAATTTAATGACTATTGCTATATCTATTTGTGTGTGTGTTTTTTGTATTTTTAATCTTTTATTGTAAAAATTTATAATCATTTAAAAAAGAAATTAATTAATGACACAGCGTTTTTTATATGTTAGAATTAGTAAAAAAAATGTACACTGTGTATAAATGTACACTGTGTACTGTCTAAACAGTAAGCAAACAAACATTATAGCTAACATGTTAAAACAACATATTAAGAAAACTGGTAAATGATGATGGTATAATTATTTAAAAACATTAATTAAATACATTAACTTAGACTCAAATTTTTATGTTTAAAATAGTGAGGTGTAACATTAAATTAAACAAAATAAAACTTACATCCCATCACAACATTTTATCACAAGTTTTATTGGAAAAATTTTGTTTATACTTTTCTTTGATATTTAACTACTGCTAACCAACTGTGCCCTAATAAAAACATCTATTACTTTTAAAGAAATTTTATTGTCATTGCAGTTTATTGCACCATATTTTTGTCAAGTGATTTTATAATTATAATAAGTTGATTTTGATTGGGTGGTTATATAATCTTGTTTGGTGAAACAAGATTTTAAAATTGGAAAACTACATTTTTTTCCAACTTGTGCTATAACTAATGGCTACTGTGTGGCTTTGATAGTTTTATTATATAATTAAACACCGATTGTAAGCCTTATTGGAATGCACTATTCAGATTTGCTATTGAACAATGTCTTAATGGAGTGCACAATATAGGTTTTCACAAAAAATAAATTTCACTTTAAACTAAAAGAAGTTAAATGTCTCTAGCATTTGCCCAGTGTCTTGTAGACTAATCTTGAAAAAAAAAGAATGTTTATTTCAATCTTGAACATTAACTCTTGTTGCGAACTTTGTAATTATATACATACATACATTCATACATACATACATACATACATACATACATACATACATACATACATACATACATACATACATACATACATACATGCATACATACATACACACACATACATACATACATACATACGTACATACATACATACATACATACATACATACATAAATACATACATACATACATACATACATACATACATACATACATACATACATACATACATACATACATACATACATACATACATACATACATACATACATACATAAATACATACATACATACACACATACATACATACATACAGACATACAGACAGACAGACAGACAGACAGACAGACAGACAGACAGACAGAGAGACAGAGAGACAGACATGCATACATCTAGCCTTCTAAAGAGACGACTGCGGTTGCACACTTAATATGACCACATATATAACATTCTAACTCTATGCCTATTTTAAGTTTGAGTGTTATAATAAATGCGCTGAATAAACAAATGTAAACTTAAACTAAAATAAATAAAAATAAATTAACTAAATTATAACCTGGAAAGAGAAATAAAAACTAAAAAAAAGATCTGAAAACTAAATTAAAACAATAAAAATATAAAGAAGAAAATGGATAAAAAATAAAGCGGCAAAAAATTGTTTTTATTTTAACTTTTTAATCCTCTACAATGAATTTTTTAAGTAATTTAATCTTAATTACTTCGCAACTCTAAACTTGTTTAATATTGCTCAAAACCATTGTAAAAAGGTTTTGTCTAATGCCAAATCCAGCTATTTTCAGGTCACAAAATCTTGTATTTCATCACAAAAGTTAAGCTCCAGAGACTACTGGAGAATCTTTAACAGTGTCTATAATAAGGGTAACATTATTATAGACACTGTTAAAGATGACACACATATATATATATATGTGTCAGAGGCTATTCAAAAACTGTTTTCAACAACGTTGACCTTTTTTTTTCTTCTTGTATACAGCAAATATTGTTGTTTTTTTTGCGGTAAAATGCCTTTATTCAACAATATTTCAGCTAAACTTTGCCAGGACGGGGGTATCGCCATCCAAATTTAAAAAGAATGATATTATGAGTTTTTGTAGGAAATACACTGTACACAAAACTTGCACTTTTCATACATGTATGCTATTATGGTTAATTTAATTTCTTTTTTGGTTTAGTAAATAAATAAATCTTAAAATGATACACTAATGTTACAAGTTTCAATGATATAAATATACTTGTTACTTATAAATAGTGCAAATTTAAATAAGATTTTAAAAAAAAAACAATTTTTATATGAAGATATTAAACAAAACTAGTAGCTTTTTAAGTAAATTAAATGTTTTTTTTCATATCATCATCATCATTGTTATCATCATCATAATAATCATCATCATTATTTATTGCCTGCTTATACATGAACATAATATTTCATGATCATTTAATCATGAAAGATGCATGCCGTGCTATTTTAAGAGGAGATAAATCTATAAACTTGGTCTAGACATACCTTGTCCTTAGAGTTTTTCCTGATCCACCAGCTGATCCAACTGTATTTTCAAGATAACAAAACTTACTAACATACTCTTGTGAAACTATTGCTTACAAACTGTACAAAAAATAGTATTTGTTTTAACTCCACATAAGCACTTTCCAGTAATTTCTACTTGCTCGCAAATTTTTTAATGTTTATCTTTCTAAAACTGAAATCATAGTATAAATTTTTCTTTGTTTCTGCAATCAAGTTTAAATCATCTGCAAACAGCTGTGTTGCTAAGCAATACTGAACTTTCTAGAGAGAGCTTCTTAAACAATAATGTGCATCTTCACTTTAAAATTACTTTTGTTTTAAATTCATCTTTTGTTTTGATTCCTGTTGTAACATTTCTATACATGGCAATAATAACTGCTACCGCAATTAAGCAATTTTGCATTGGTCAAGCTTCTTTTTTCAGATTTTAGTGTCACTGCCTCTTTGAAATAATCTTTACCATTCAATCTCTGTTCCAATTATTTATGAGTTATTTTATTTTAATATAACTTTATTGCAAAAATCTGAACACCTACATCCCCTAAATCAGCAAATTGACCATTATATTTGCCCTCTGAAAAGCTGATTTTAGTTTTCTACAATTTATCAGCAACATTAAACTACTAACTTTATGTACAACAATTTAACTCTTTATTTAGCTACTTTTTAAAAAGTATTTTTACCATCTAGCTCTTTAAAGCAACCAAAAATAAGGAGATATCTATTTTTTTTCTTAACCACTCAATTTAGAACTGAACTTCTACATCTAGCATCTCACCTAATATCTGTTCATACATTTAGGTTTTGTATACAGCTAGTTTTGCTTAATGTTTAGCAAAGCAATACAAGAGCATGTCTTTTTTCAGAAGTTTTCCAAATTTTATAGAGTTTTCTTTCTGCGATGATAGTGCAATAAATAAAGATTCAGCTTGACTACAAAATACTTATGACAAAATCCATAATATCACTTAATTAGACACTTTACAGTTAGGTTTACCTTATATATCAATATGAGGTAAACCTAGCTGTAAAATTGAAAATAAAAAACCACTTAGTGTATGTACAATTAGTAAATGTAACTTTTTTCTTTTTTAATGTTTACTGTTCATAGTTCCATATTTGCGTGATTTAAACAAGTATTCATAACTCTGTGTTCTTATTTAAATATGGCATTATAAAAGAGCTTATGCAACTTTTTATAGCTGGAGGTTCTTTCTGGCACTTACCTGTTTTGCAGATCAAGACTGAGTATTTTTAATTCTCTGGTTTCACTAAAACAATTACTTTTTAGGATTTACAAGTTTCTTCCAAACATACCTATAATTAAGGATTTTACATCAGTTTCCTTTCTACTTGGTAAGTTCCCTTCACATGGCTTTTAGACCATGATGGGCAAATACAGGATGCAACTTTGCTGAATGATGAGTCTAGCAAAAAATGAGTTTTGGTTGATGGAATCTTGTTCTATCAATCAATGATGATAGTTTATTTAAGCAGCAACCATGACTGTTTTTGTAAAAAAGAGAATGGGATGCAACCTTATAGACAACAGTATACTATGCTAGGACCAATAAGAGATTTGTAGAAAGGTAGAGAATGGAACTGGAATGACTAACTTTGCAATGGATTGTATATATAGCTTACATGAAAGGTCAGTAGTGAATGATCATCAGAGAAGGCATAAAATAGATGTTTCAGAGAACTGTCATTCACATATATTGGAATATCAACGGTATTGCAACAACTGTTTAAACAACTGAGTTTAAAAATAACTGAGTTTTATTGGACTTAAAACTCACAAGTCATTTCAAGCGCCAAGCTGTAACAGAAAAGAAATCAGATTAAAATTGACTACCTGTACTAAGCAATCAAAAAGTGATGGTTTTTTCGTCAAGACAGGAATATATAGTTATGTCATTAGCAAATAAAGCCACTTTAGATGTAACAATGTCAGGATATATTTATGAATAAAGATGATAAATAATATAGAACCAAGGATAAAACCTTGTGGTATGCCAGAAGTTACTGGAAATGAAGAAGAGTATTGACCTTTGAGGATGACTTAGATACTATGATTACACACCCACGCTGAACCAGATTTTAGTTTGATGAAATGACATAGGGTTGTGTCATACCTTTTTGAAATTGTTAGAACCATTCAGGGAAAGTTAGTGAAAAAAATCATAAAACTAATCTTTAAAAAATATTTGGGTTTATACAGGGGTCATATAGGGTCCCGGACTTAGGCGCCCCTCTAACTGAAATCAAGACCCACCACAGGGGTGCATGCAATTGTTGTACATTTTGTCAGAAAATATGACTAGTCGTTATATGTCCCCCTCAGATGGGTCTTAAAAACAGTCTGAGGGGCGCCAATGCCGAGTACTTTTTTCTTAAAATTAAAAGGGAAAAATGTTTTCCATTGAAACTAACTACTGCTTTATTCAAATACTTTGCATACTTTTGATGGTTATCAGACACTTTGAAACGTTCCCATGCTTCCTTTAGAAATGAGTAGTGAAGAGCTTCCCCTGCTTGTTCACTAAAAAAACCCAATCCAATGTCCTTATCTTTACAAAAAGGACCTACATGTTGAAATATGATGTGTAACTTCACAGTAACTGTCATTTCATAATCTTCCACTAAGGTTGAATAATGATTCTTAAATAACCTGATGTCTTTTTCAAATGTTGGCCTTAAATTTACACCAAAACAAGAGTGAACAAGGTTATCCAGAAGCCTGAACGCTTCAGCCAATGGTTTTAATAGGACTGGAAACAAGTTATAGTACTTCACCTAATTTTTTAATATTTTTCGACAACCATTACCATTATATGACCCATTTCTTATTGATTTAGAAATATTTAAGTCATTTTCGATCTTTTTTAATAGTACTGGATCAGCTAATTTGTTTATTGTTTTAAAGATATGGTTTGGTGCCCCTTCCATCAAATGAAGTTCTGGAGGAGAAAGATGATTAACAACTAGATCATTATCATCACCAATTAAAAGAACTTCATCAATACAGTTAAAATACTCTTTTGCTCTAATTTTCTTTGATCCGCTCAATTTATACAATTTACTGCTTAATCTTAGTGACCCAAGTGTTCGTAGCTCAGTGCAATCATTTTTAAAAACTTCTGTTCTGTTCCATGTACAAATATAACACGGATGAGTTGCCATGGAACTCGAAGACATACCACATATGACTTGACAGAGTTTGATATCTGCCACACAAGTAAAGTTTATTTTATCCAAACAGAGTTTGTTAAGCAGAATTTTAACATTATGGTTTGTCTCTGGTACATCTGGTACCAGTGCTATAATAAATGATGCTTTCACAGATCCTTCCTTGAAACTTGGTGATTTAATTTCTCCATATTTTCTCCTTTTGTTTTTAATTGTTTCACTAGGATTTGATACAACATTTAAGCAAACCTGAATATTTTATAATAAATTACACTTATTATTATTTTTAATTAGAAAAAAAAGTGGCACATTACAAAATCAAATTACCTTAAGAAATCCCCGACCTCCGTCAATGGAAATTTTTATATACTGGTTTTGAGGATAGGCTCCTTTTTTATCTATTATTTGCCACAGAAACTCATTGACATCTGTTGTTCTGATAAATGGGATAAGTTTAAACAAACTTTTTTCCTCTACAGATTTAATATTAAAAAGTTCAAAATCCTCAACAAAGCAATCATCAAGTTGCTGGTCAATACGTTTGAGCTCTGCTGCTAACCCTGATTGTACAATTTTTCTGTTTTGTGCTTTGAATCGTAGTTCTTTTGCTAGCTTTAAAATTTTTGTGTTACTTAATTCTAAAGTTGATTGTATGTCAATCATACTTTTTATAGACAGTTGTTGTATATTACTAGTATCATGGTTTCTCTTAAGTGTAAAACTTACTTTTTTACCACCAATAGCAAGTATCGCTTTACCCTTTTTGTCTATTTTGTCTTTTATTAAAGAATTAGCTATTTGCTCAATTGTCTTGACATTATTTGCAAGCTTTTGCATTACATTACATTTAAGTACAGCTAAAGAACATTTGTGGGTAATTCCTTTGCAGGCTCTTTTCCTCTTCTTATACTGCTTTTGCAAGATTCGCAAATAGCTTTAGGATAGAATGAATTTTTAATGTTGTATTTAAAATTCACTAAATTTTTAATCCACGGTACATTAATATCGTTAGGTTTATTTGTTTTTTTGGCACAATATAAACACACTTTTCTCCTGTTTTCCTCATGAGTACAGGTCGGTTTAAATAAACTCATTCTATCTAGAAAAATAAAACAATTTAAGAACACAGAGAAAACACACTTTTTATTATACCTAAAATATAAAGATTTATATACCATATAATAATTCTTTAAAAAATGTTTCAAACACACTATACAAATATAACATAATATAATACAAATATAAATGCTGACTATTACAGTATATAGGTTCCTTATTAAATACCATTTAACATTACTTACAAGCGTTGTTTATTATACTTCAATTTTTAAAGTTAAAACAAAATGA